AAACTACGGTACGCTTGCCTGCTCCACACAGCCACAAGTTCATTTCATAGCCATATTTTTTTTTTGCTTCGATCAAATATGTAACGAAACAGAAAAATATGAGCATACCGGAACCATGTCGCTAAGTGCAATCTTCAGTTTCTGGGTGTATGTACAGTACCGGTACCATTGCAAGGTGTTGCGTATCCGATCGCGAAGCTATACTGCCACTAGACACGCAGTAGACCAGGGGTCGCCAAGCTACGGCCCGCGGTGTCCTTTCATCTGGCCCGCAATAACACGAAAAAAATGACGTTTTTTTCCAAGGGATGTTTCCCCAAGTATCGTTTTCCTTGTTCATTCTGTATCATTGGCCAATCAGCAAGATGCAGCAAGTGACGTAACTATAGACCCTTTCGCATCTGCTCATACTCTTTTTTCCAGTGTCGCCAACTTGGATTATTTTAATCTAGATCATTTTCGTATGGTTCAGATGTGAGAAATACCGGTACCCATTTAGATGTTAGATTATTTTCTGGATTATTTAGCATATACCTAATTAGATTATTTTTACAAATGTTATTTTGCATTGCTCTCTAGTGAAAGTACCGGTACCGTACCTTTGAAGAGATATTATTTAATACAGAAAAGCTTTTCAATCAAGGTACGGTAAATAGTGTTCAAATAATGAGTGAGGTTGGCCAAAATATTGCATGAACTGAATGCTGTTGTTATGCGAAAATCTGAAATCAAGAAATAGTCTATTGCTATTCACTAATTTTACCCCTATAAGTAGGGATGGGCAATATTGGGGTCTCATGTAGTTTCGTACCTAACATACTTCTAGTGGGCGTAGCACGACAATTTTTTCACGTATCTATCCTAACCCCCACCTGACTACACCATCCAAAAATTACGTCAACACGACGTCACAGTGACATACGGTAATAGAGCCCTTCAAACTATACGAACTGCTATCCAAGATGAGCAAACGAGCATCCGAAATCGAACATTCAATCAATTTTATTTGTTCACTCTGATACAAACAGAAAACAAAACAACAACAAAGGCAAACAAAATACAGAGGACCTGGAGGACGGGCATAACTTAATGATAAAGTTAAATACGTACCGTACAAGTACGTGCCCGTCTCCCGAAAACAGTCAAACATCGGGCATGTGACATTGGGCAATATCTTATAAATTCAAATTAAAATGTGAGACGTGTATGTGCTTTTCCTACAGATATATGTACATTAAAGAACACTCGCTGCCAAAAAATGGTGATGCTGTAGGCCTAGTTCAATTACGTTGCAAAAGTAACACAGTGACAATTTTTTTTTTACTAAAAAACAAGCTTGGTAAATGGATTGAATGTTCCATAGCAGTCTATGCACGAATCATGGATTGGAGTGTTGGGTTCTTTTGTCGTTTTCGGTTATTTCAGTTTAAAATCATTGTATCCGTTCCAATGCTTCCAACATTAATACTGTAATATCGAATTTCCACGAACGACCACTATCTACGCTCTGTTCCATCATCCACGTGTAGATTCATAAAAGGATCGAAACCTCGCAATATACCCGCAACAGATCGTCCACCATTCAACTTCAAATCCAATCTTTTATCCATAAACTTCTTTAATTCCAGTGGATGGGCTTTGCTCATGTTGATATTACGCGAAACAGATTACAGATACCGAAACACAACGTGTAGCATTCACTAGTCTTTCCCAGCTGACACATGTTATTTCTCTCGTTTTCTCGTCGCCACGATTCCAATACAGCAATAAGAGAGAGATCGATAATGTCAGTCAGTTCTTTATCGACAGCGCCAATGCCATTTCGGGCGATTGTACGAATATTTGGCAAGCTCTATGACGTGATTGTGATGTCGTAGTGACGTAATTTTTGGATGGCGTAGTCAGATGGGGGTTAGGATTGTCATATCAAAAAATTGTTATGCTACGCCCACTAGAAGTTCGATAGGTACGACACTACACAAGACCCCAATATTGAATAATTTACTATTCTAGAATACTTAAATCAAATCCAGAATACCGAATCCTATTCTATTTTTATTGTTATTCAAATTTGGGAATTCTCCCACCATATTGAAGGATTATAATTGAAAACAAATTTAATTGAACTTTATTTGTTACCAAACAGTGGAATATAAGAATTGTACCGAATGCCTTTTGCCTTGAATTGTTCAAAATTTATATGATCGGTAAACGCTATGTTGAAACAAATATACACTTTTTAAACTAAAATTCAAGTTTTTAGTTGTTATTGTTATATAATAATTATTCTTAATGTCCTTCGATAGTATATGGCCGGATGAAAGAAATGCCTCCTCCACGTGTAGCAATTTTTTTTGCTTTATCGGCGATGATTCAGCCCGACACTCGACCAAACGTGTGTCAAGCTTGGACCATATTTATGGATTCAGCGTATTTTTTATCGCATGCATCGCATTAGTTTGACGATATAATTTTGTATTTTCAGAGTTTTATTCACAGTTCTTTCATTGGTGTAAATTTTCTTGAAATCGAGACAAGTCTCGCATCCTTAGATTTCGAGAACCCTTCTCAGTATTCTTCACTTCCCAAAAGAGCCAGCTTTGCGAAAATTCCAATTTATTAGGTGAATTCATATCTTTTAAATACCCTTCTACCTTGTTTGATATTGCACCCAATGCTCCAACAACAACCGGTATAATTCTCTTAACATTCCATAATTTTCCAATTTCTCCGTAAATCTTGAGACTTGATATTTTTTTAAATTTTTCCTTTTCCTTTAATAAAATACGATGATCGGCCGGAACTGCTATATCGATTATCAAGCATGTGTTTTCGGATGAATTTATTACTACAATATCAGGTCTTCTGTGGGTAATGACGTATATTTGGATTATTATTTTTTAAATTTAGATTATTTTAGATGTTTTTTGTTGAGATTCTAGATTATTTTATCGCTGAACAGTTGGCAACCCTGCTTTTGTCACTCGGACAGATATTCAGTCATGGTTTCAAACATAACCTCGTTTTCGCGATTTTGAATGCTATTTGTTAGTTTTTGGTCAAGTATGATTCAAATAAGTCAATCATCATTTTGCCTTCTTAGGATTTGTAGTTTATTTACAGTAATCAAAAATTGTCTAGAAATAGCTGTGATAAAATAGGCTAAAAAAAACTCTCTATCGGTAAGCAACGTTTTCTGCGAAGGATGCATTGTACACTCGTGCTTTCGGCGAAAATGTTGCTGTGTACGTTTCTCGTGCTAAAGTGAACATCGAACGTGCATTTTGCGCTGATAGTACAAGTCACGAATTATACAATTTAATATTCAAGACTTCTTAAATGTAGAATTCATTTTGTGGAATAAATTGAATGGATTTTCCAACTTTTGGGAATTAATTGTATTGCATTGATAAAAATATTTGTCCGGCCCGTTTCAAAACAGTTTGCGGTCAAAAAAGTTTGGTGATCCCTCATCCCTGCAGTAGACTATGGTACCGGTACGGTACTGTCCGACTGTAGTAGACTATCTGACTTACTGACTATCACTGTATCAAGTAATGGTCACTTCTACTCACTACTTCACATCAGGAGCTTGCTAATGTATAACTGTATAATGTAACAGCTGCGGTCAGGCTGACGATCTTGTTTGCAAAGTTTGTCTTAGGTTGTGAGAGTCCAATGTCTATATTCATAGATGTTGTTATTAGGGCTGGGAATTTTAGGGAAACCCTTTTAACCGTTAACCGGGGAAAATTAACCGGTTAACCGCCGCATGACCTTTGATGTAATAATTCATAATTTCAGCTTGTTACGTCACAATGCTTATAAAGCAAATTTGCGTGTCCTTATCCCGGTATCGCTTATTAAAATTATTCACGAATCGAGATTGTTTCATGATTGCTCGGCTGCAAGAGGTAGGCAGCGTGGTTCGGGCGTGCGGAAGTATTTTAGAAAACCTGATTCCGTTGTTAAACGCAATTTATGTGACAAACTATCAGTCTTCGATGTGCAAATTTTACTTCGAGATATATATCATATAAAGAAAAACGGCATAAACTGCGCACTTGTTGTATGACATTGAATATCCGATTTTGCAATGAAATCGTGAACAATATATTTCGAAATCGACCGAAAACTGATTCTGAATTCATCATTGTCAAATTTCCATAAGCAATCTTGGTACTTTCATCCTTTTTCACATTTATTGAGTCCTTACCCACATAGTTAGTATTAGTAATATTCTTTTGAATTAAATGCCACAAGAGATAAATTTGCGATGACGTAATCATATTTGAAGAAATTGTTAGGTATGAAGATGATTTGTACCTGAGATGTCAGTTAACGGTTAAAATAAATCTTAACCGTTAACCATCTGAAATCGGTTAACCGGTTAACCATTCCCAGCCCTAGTTGTTATGCATTGAAAATTGACCAACCGTTTATATTCATGTTTATTTGTTTATGTTTGTTGTGATTTGTTTTCTTCTTTCTTCGGTGAGTGAAAACGTTATAAACTTATTTTTAGATTTTTGTTCACTTTCCAGATTCTTCACTATTCTCTTTTTTGTGTATTGTTTTATTTTTTTGCGAATGGATCGAAATAAAATCTATCTATCTATTGTCTCTGGTGTGTGGGTGCTGTGAATTAATTCAACAATTTTAGGTGAGTGAACAGGTACTACTTCTCTTTGGCAAAACCTTCCATCTTATATTCTGTTCGTATTGAATCTTATCTAAGGTTTTGACCAAATGGTTATATTCATGTTTGTGATTTGTTTTCTTTCTTAATCGGTGAGTGAATGTGTTTAAATGTCATAAACTTACTTTTAGGTTTTGTTCACTTCCCTGATTCTTTGCCTTTCTCTTTTTTGGGTATTGTTTTATGAATCAAAATAAAATGTATCATCTACCTCAAGTAGGTACTAGTGTGTGTAGCATAACAGTTTTTACCTGTCTACTGCATCAGACTCTGCCAGCCTCCAGTTAACTTAGAATATATTAATTTTTCAGTCATAAATCTGTTGAAAGTTTCATTACTGTTTTAGTCTAAGCTAGCCAGGGATCCACATCTAGGTAATTTTTATGCGTGTTTGAAAATCAAAAAGATTCAATGGGATCTTACTTGAGTCGAAGTAATGGCGAGATTCAAGAGCTGGATATATCTACGAATTCTGCTTACCGATATCCTCCAAAAGCAGGTAATATATTTTACAATTCAGTGTTATACTTTTCTAATGTAAGTTATCGTACTTTACTGAATGTACAAAAGATATTTTTTTATTTTAAACAACCTGATTTATTCTGGTATTTCTTTCCTCTGCTTGTCGGCTTATGTTGAGATAAGATCATAGGCTACTGAAGTTCAGAAGTTGACTAAACCCCAACTATGTGAACATGAACATCCTGACATCTGATTTTGTAATGTAAAGTTTTATTTGTAAGTTTTAATCTGGCAATGACATTGGCGAGTCAAGGCAATCGTATTCTTATAAATAGGCATACCACAGTATATAGTAGTAGTATTCAACTCATTACTTATCGATCTTAAGATCGGTAAGTATATTGATAGGTATTTGTCTGTATGTATGTCTGTATGTATGTCTGTCTGTATGTATGTCTGTCTGTGTGTCTGTTAGATGCACGCGATATCTCACGAAAGCGAGATTGAATCTGCTCCAGATTTTGCATGTGCATTCATCTTATCTCGGACCAGAAGCCTATTGATTTTGGGCGAATTATGTCGTATAATTAGCGAGTTATCAATCAATTATTGATATAGTGATCTAGATTTTTGTAAAGCGAGAGAATTTTGAAACCCGCCGAGTGTGTGTGTGCGATGCGCAGTGCGCAAGTTACAAGAGCGGATGAATCGAAACTGCAGTTTCTGTTTTGGGGGATCCCCTAACTATCGATCGATAAGTCTTCGGTTTCCAACCGATATTCTCGTTATGAATATTAGTATTATTAGAATATTATTTTATTGTGTGCTTTAACTGTTTTTGGTGGATGGGCGCGTACTTGTACGTTTTTAACTTTGTACTCGGTCATGCCCATCTTCTACGTTACTTTTATTTGTCTCTTCATTGTTGTTTTGTTTTATGTTATAGAGACTAACATAAAATTGATTGGAGTAAAATTGATTCATTGATTAGTTAGTTACAGTCAAATCATACGAAAACATATTTTGAATAATTTAACGACAGTACAGCTAACGTTAGATATTAGACTGATATATTACATGTATTAAACATGTTCGGTATTATTAACAATGACATAACATTATCCCATCCCAAATCCCATCCTAGCAGAAGAGTTTGAATGACCGATAATCCAATATCAATTTGGAATCAATAGCTACCGTTATATATTTGAGTAACATCTCACAATTTTTCTAATACCAAAAGGACAGGTGTGCATAATTTATATGCATGTATATATTTTTCTTTCAGGAAATTATTTTTCATCACATTTTATCATGGGTGGGAATAAATTTGAAACGATGCAACCTGAAGCTTACTTGTTCGGTGAAAATTCAGACTTGAATTTTCTGGGACCAAAACCTCACAATGTGAGTTTAATAATATTTATATTGTTTTTACTTTATATTTTCTACTACAAAATCATATCAATGTTGTAATGCGTAAAAAGTGATTGTGTCCATTATTGCTTAGTTTTCAATGTGGTTGACTTGAAAGTTTTAAAGTACAGCTTGAAATGATAAAGAGTATATAACTGAGGAATGGAAAGTTCTGGCACCAGAATCTGTAACATTACAAGCAATACTAATTTGTCTATAGTGATATATTTGTTTTGATCTGGCTTTATGCATCGATCGATTTAATGCTTCATATTACAAAAATTATTTGTTGGGTTAGTTTTAACAAATTAGAATATTATTTATATAGTCTACTTTCAAGTTTTGATATATCTTATAAAATTGCTCAGAACTATATGGTTTAATTAATATGCTCAGGTTCCTTACAAAGTGTCGTCACCAAGCCAGCCAGTACGAGCTCTTCGATGTTTAGTCAACATACGAAAAGATTCATTGAGACTTGTCAAGTAAGCACAATTGAAACAATTTAATATGTTTTTGATTGAAAATTAGGTTTGACGTCTGCACTTTTAAAAAAAATTGTTTTTGAATCAGAAAAGTCACATAAGGGTTCTAAAACACAGGTTTACATATCACACAAGCCTCATTATATTGACACCCGCTGGTATGAAATATATTGGAAATCAAATGTCACTGCGCTTCCAGCTGAAGCTTATTTATTTCCTGTTTTTAAATTTTAATTATGATATAGAAATTTAGTGTATCCATTTTCATTCAGTATTCCATGCATAATATAGACAATTAAACTTCCTGCAACTATATTTCCAGAGTACCGAGTGCTTTGAATAAAACAGTAACAAATGAAGATGCACCAGTGGAGCAAGATCGACAAATTATAGCAGAGGATGGGGAAGGACCCTTTCTGTACAATATTGAATTCACATTTGATGCTGACTGTCCATGCTCCATCACTATTTATTACAACGCCACTGAAGAGATGTTCAATAAGAACATTATGTAAGCTTCATGATATTTTATACAGCACTCATTGGTGTCTTTCATTCTGAATAATGCCTTATTACTAGGGCTGGGAATTTCAGGAAAAACATATTACAAGTAAAATTAACCGGTTAACCGCAGCGTGACGTTTGACGTAATAATTTATAATTTCAGCTTGTTACGTCACAATGGTTATAAAGCAATTTCGTGTGATCTTATCCCTGTATCGCTCAAAATTATTCATGAATCGAGATAGTACATGATTGCTCTGCTGCAAGAGATATGGAGGGTGGTTCGGACATGTGGAAGTATTTAGTATTCCGTTATCAAACGGCAGTGATAAATTTTCAGTGTCACATCATCTGCGCACTTGTTGGATGACCTTAAATATACGATTTTGCAATAAAATTGTGAACAGTATATTTCGACTGAAAACTGATTCTGAATTTATCATTGTAAATTTTTATCTTGGTACTTCAATTATTTTTCATATTTATTGAGTCCTTACCCACACAGTTATTGATATACTTTTGAAATAAACACCACAGGAGATAAATTTGCGATGACGTAATCATTTTTAAAGAAATTGTACAGTATAAAAATGATTTTTACCTGAGATGTCAGTTAATGGTTAAAATAAATCGTAACCGTTAACCATCTAAAATCGGTTAACTGTTAACCATTCCCAGCCCCACTTATTACAAACAGTCACTGATATCTAAAGATATGTAAGAAACTTGTGTTATATATAAGGATAAGAATCTTTCCGGCTACGCATTGCCTGTCCAATTTATTACACCATTGGCGGTCCAATTTATTACACCATTGGCGAACACAAGATCTGATGCACCCATAGTTAAGTAACTTGAAGTAATGACAGTGTGTAAAACTTTGCCTTTAGACTTACGGTCTGTTATTTTAACATTAATTGCTAAGGTCAAAATATACCTACTTGCTTTTTCGATTTATATTAATGAACTATTTGCCGAATACTTCAAATGTAGCTTATTAAGACAAATAGGCATCATTATTTATTATTTGTTTATATGGTTTGCTGTAATAGAAATTACCTGTTTATATGATGCAATAACACTACTAAATAATAATTTATTGATATACAGGTATATATCTAATAGAAATATGCCAATATTTACTGGATTATCTTTAAGACAATGATTAATAACCTATATTCCACAATCCACATTCTTTTCATATATATAGCGCGTAAAAATATTTGTATCGTTTTTTAAAATATGCTTGGAAGTTTTTTTTACAATGGTTTTGTCATTTTAGATATGCTCCTGACCCGGCTCGTGATTGTTCAGACACAGTGCATTTCAATCCTGGATGCAACCAGCAATTTTGTCTTCCGACACATCGAATTGATCCAGCTAAATTAACAAAGTCAAAAGTAGATGTAGGTTATATTTTTCTATTTAGTTATTATTAACTGCTTACTACTCAAATAGTTTGAATGGTATTATTGGAATTATCGGATTTATTCAGATTAGTAAAAAGTGTTTGACAATAGCAAGTTTTTGTGAATTTTTCAGTTCTTATCCATGTCGTGCTTGAATATATTTTTGTATATTTCAATATTTTCCTCAGTTTGAAAAATTTGAAATATTTTAAGTTTATCCAATGAATAAAACGATTGGTAATATATTTTTGATTTGTATATATATTTTTACACTACACACAGTGACGTCATATAAAATTTCCATTATCATTGTTTTGATATTGCAGTGGACCAAAGGGTATACAAAGATTCCAATTGTTATTCAAGTATGCGCCGACTGTGGACCAACAGTGGTAGGACATAGTCATATCACCTATGCAGAATTTTACAAGGTAAAAAGTTGTAAGACTCTCTTATTAAGGTTAATTTTGATATGACTTCAAATTTAGATGAATAAAATAGCCAGGTTATATTAGTCATTTTCTTTTCATTGGTATATTTTAGTTGGAAATATTAATCGTTTCTACTTATATAAGGGATGATATAACTACGCATATAGACACACTCATAGTGACTTGGTACTTTCTGCTGTGGCCCATGCAAGACTAAGTGAAGTTCAGTCAATTTCTATTCAAAGTTGTAAATATTTAACTTTTATTCTATTGACATTTTGAGATACAATGTAATACAGAGAATGACTTGTTTTGTAAATATTGTTGTCAGGATATAGTTGTTCAATCGACAGTTCAATTATTGCAACATTATAAACCCAATTCGGTTGAATTGTTTTTGTATTTAGAGTGGACAGTGAAATTTTTATCAAGTATGTCCATAAAATATAAGCTATCTTAATACATCCTTTTGTCTATATTATGCCGATGTGTGCTGTGTTGTGAACTGAGCCTGCTTGATTTCACTTAGAAGCGAGAGCTCTAAACTGACTAACTTGCTATTCTGAAAACATTTAAAAAAATATAGAATCTTAATTATATTCTGAATCGTATCAAAAAAAAAATTATACTTAAAAAACTTGAGTTTTATTTAGTTGGAAATTGAAATACATTTTCTTAATATGATAAACTGGTATTTGCCATTCCTAAATTATATTTCAGCCATCAGACAGCACATGGTCAATCAGAACTGTAAAGCAGAAGCAAGCAGTGAGTCCTTTTTCAATAAATTAAATGGAATTACTACCATTTTTAATCGCTTAACTAAGATGTGCTAATTCCTGTTGATTCAAATTCTCGTTACTGTCAGTGAAATACTTTTTACTGCTACATGCATGGTTGTGTTACCATATTGTTTTAGATCTTTATGCTATGATTTATGGTAGATAAAATATCTTATCATATGGAAACAACAACACTAAATATATTAATTCCCTATTTGAAATGGTACTTCTGTAGTATGTAACTATGTATACCAGGTTAGGTCATAATTTCATTCCGATTTTCTTTATTTTAGTTCTATTATGAGTTCAAGTACTGGCTGTGTTAGCCAAGTAAATATACCCCCTACCTTTTACACAACTTGATGTAAAGCAGACGAATAAAATTAGTTACAATTACACCCATATTGGTACACACACTTCTGGAGCGCCTTTGAAATATATTATTTACTTCTATATTAATGTACACTCTAATGGGGTTTAAATCAAATAGAGTGGAGTTCAACTTAGATGACTGTGAAATATACAGTTTTGTTATTTATACTTTTGATCAGCTTTTTTACTGACAATTTTTTTACGACTGCGTAATGTGAAGTTTGCTACTCAGAAGTGGGTAGGGTCAAAAATAAATTTTGTATCACAAAAATAGATAGGTATACAGTTTTGAGATATATTATTTGGGATTTTTGACTGAATTAAATATTCACATTTTTGCGTTAACCTAAAATATTTTAATAGATTGATGGTGTGTGCTACCTTATTCAAGAAATATTTGGAATTGAAAACAAAGCTCCTACGAGCCAGAATACAAATGATAATGAAGATGACGATGATAATGATTTAGATGACGATGGTTCTGATTGCGTCGTTTGTTTATCAGAAACCAGAGACACTCTGATATTACCATGCAAACATTTGTGCTTATGCAGTTCTTGTGGTGAGTATAATGTTTGCAGCTATATTTTGGTTGCAAGCTTTTGAAAGGTTTGATCTCAGATTCAAATTGCATGCCCCATCTTACCCAACTTGTTATAAATTCGCTAGGCAATGCTGAAGCGGAGGTGATCCTGGCAAGGGGTGGTTTTGGGGGGTCGAAACCCTCCTTTTTGACATGTAAAAAAAATCAAAGCATCTTTCTGTATCATACATATCAATTTTTTGTAGCTTGAGACGCTTTTTAGACCCTCAAGACTCATGAAATCACACCTTTTTCGGCATTCGACCAGACCCGCTAGTTGTTTCCATCAAACTCGGCAAATAGAAATTTCAGAACCTCCCCCCTTTGAAAATTTCTGGCTTCGACCCTGGATCCTGGTTCTTAAAAAAAAATTTGCTTTTTATCGTTAGATGTCAGTATTGTTCCGAGTGAAAGGTGTGAATGAGCATCATATTAAAAAAGAATAATTATTATTGTAGTGAAATCAAAACAAGATACTATTTTCAGCAAACCAACTGAGATATCAGCAAAGTGGCTGTCCAATATGTCGACAATCTTTTCGAGCTTTACTGCAAATACGAGCAGTGAGAAAGAAAACAAATCAACCACCTCTGACAACTGAGTCGAGAAATTCAGAACGTCGGGACTCTAATACAGGTGATTTAAGTTTTTAGTTATTGGACTAATATTAATCTACTCTTCGACTTAAATATTAAAGTATCATTGTCTTACTATGGCAAAATTTTTTATTATCAAAATATGACAAAAACCTTTCTATAGGTTGGATTTGCTGGAATAATTTCGTTCAATTGTATAAATCTGCCATTATGCTGTGACATATCCAATACCTATTCAACATTAATTATAGATTCTAGATCAGGAGTGTGCAAGGTTTATTTTTTTTTAAAAATTATAATTTTTGATACATGTGATATCTTCCAGAAGATATGTACATGACATAAGTACAATTTTCTTAATCATAGGATTATGATTGATCATACATTTAGGCACATTTTCCTGAAAATAGATATAGGCCATTATTATCTGGGAAATCAGTTCTAAAATAAGCATATCATAAAAGAGAGATCAAAAGTGGGGGAAAAACCGTGGGACATGAAAATTCTCTCCCATTCATTCCAGTCATTGAAAACATTAAAGGTTATTTTTTTGGGGTGATTTCAACCTTACCACCATTTTAATGTATAAATGCCAATATGTAATATAATTATTATGTTAATCATATTCGACTTTTTCTTGAAATTTCAGAAGATAATGACGGGGAAGATGAAGCAGAAGTCATTGTACCAGTACCGCCAGGTTATCAAGTTGTTCCTCTCATTGAAGCAATCAAAGGAGATGTTGTGACGTCAAAGCCAAGAGGTAATTTCTTTCTTCCATGAAAAATATTTTCTCTGCAGTTCGATAAAGAATATTTCAAGATCTTTCCAGACTGCTGATGGTATAATGATGAGTAGGGATTATGGGATTACTGAACATGCAATATTAATTATTGTGTCAATACTGCAAGAGATTAGATAATCAATCACATATTGCCATTGACATATAATCATCTTACACTTACATGTTCTGCTTTAATAAATAGTTTTTGATTGTGATAATTTCAAAAAGATTGGTTAAATATTATAAAATAATTTGTGGTATTCCAAATCGGGATTTTATGTTTTTGCTTGCTTTTCTGGAATCACGGTACTCCCGTATTTTATTGTTGTGTGTACCAGATTAGGCTATAATTTTATTCTGATTTTCCTTATTTTAGTTCTATTATGAGTTCGGGAACTGTCTGTATTAGCTAAGTTAGTATACCCCCTGCCCATAGGCTTCTGTCACTTTACATAACTTGATGTAACGTAGGCGAACAAAATGGGTTACCCCCATATTGGTACACATACTTATGGAGTGCTGGAATCACTGTGCGTAACTTCTATTGTCTCAGCCTATTACTCATTGGGGAAAAGTGCATCACAAATTTATCGTAATTACGATTTGTCTAGTTGTTTCAAAGCGCTTTTGGAAGTTTATATATTCAGTTATGTTTGATATTCACAATGATATCGTAAACTTCCAATTGCATTTTTTAAACTAATTACAACGAAAACATCATACAGCTGTGCCAAGTCTTGAACCCTCAACATCGGTAACAAATGTAACGGTTGTTGATGAGACAGTTCGAGCTTCAACTCCAGATCCATCAACTTGTCCTTCAACAAGTTCAGGAAATGTAATACAAGATGAAGATGTCACTAATTCTGATAGTGATGCCGATGAACCTAAAATCCACCCGGAAAGCCCTGTTCTTGTGAAGGTTAGTAATACTTATTTCTGAGTGATTTTGTGAACGCGTATCTTGATCTTAACTATAACATTGAATCATACATTATCTCAATTTTTAGTTACGTATTAGTGCATGGGTGTGCAAACTGCGGTGCGCGAGCCAAATGTGGCCCACGAGAAAAAATTGTTAGGTACGTGGAGAGGCGCCAATTTTGGATGGTGTGCGGCCTGCGTTATCAATTTGGTTTAATCTGGTACTTGAAAATAATTCCGATCCCTTTACATTGCAAAGCATATAACTGAGTCCAAGTTTTTTTTTATGCATATGACGTTACAATGCCCTAACAGCTAGCTTTTGCGAAACGAACAACGCACGTCATGAGATCAATAACCAAAATATTTGTGCCTGCAACTACTATAAAGCTTATGTTAAATAAATATGCACACAGTTTCACCCAGTTATTTGTATCTGGCCCTACTATATTAACCCTGCTAAAACGCTTGAAGGTTGCACACCAATGTATTAGGTTATTGGTTTTGATTTTTATAACTGTTAAATTATATTCATGAATTTTGTTTTACAGGAAGTTGCTAAATCTGCAAATGAGGTTGAAAAAGGTATGAATTTGTATAGTATATCGTAGCAACGCAATTTTTTTTTTTTTACCTTCACGCTAGATTCTAGCTATCAATCAGATATGAGTTCTATCGAAATCTCGTATTTGTCCTATTCTTGATTGTGATTTGGCAAATATGGGGAAAAACTGTGTTTACATTTTAACCATTCGTTATAGTACTGTTAGATTACAACTTACAATACTTCCCTTTTAGCTGCTGCCTTTCTTGATAGTTTTACCTGTTTTATATGCCACTGATGTTATGTCAATGTACATTTAACAGTATGTGTACAACAAGAATTACACAACGCCATAATTTTTTTACCAATCACAATTTAATTTTGTGCTTTTGAATGGTTTTGGTGACCATTGGATAATTTTGCAAATAAAAATAAAATAAAAATGTTGTCTACATTTCACTTTATTCAAGAAAATGAAGACCAGCAAGAACATGAAGAGAATTCAGAGCATGAATATGCTGAAATCGGTCTTTCAGGTGAATATCTGGCTTATCCCATATTGTCAGGAATATCTTATCCATCTATGTGTAATAAAATTGGGCATGAAAAAATAAGTCACTTCTGTTTATTGGAGTACTGTCTTAGAATATTCTATACAAGAATCATGCAATGATTGTAACGTTTGATAATTTTTCAAGTAAATGAAGACCAACAAGAACATGAAGAGACTCCAGAGCATGACTATACTGAAATCAGTCTTTCAGGTGAATATCTGGCTCGTCCCATTTTATCAGGAACATTTCTGTTTGCTTATACTAATAAATATGCACATTATTTAAAATATTTTACAGCAAGTTGTTTTTGGTGAATTGATTTGATGAAGCGAGGGATATTACTTCTTACCCATGTGTAATAAGATTGGAAATGAATAAGCCATTGCTATCAATAATAATGAAGTGATAAAGCATATTGTAGAATATTTTATACTCGTAACATACAAAGAATGCACACATTTTTTACCAACATTTAGGTGTATCAAATACTGAAGAAATTGGCACAGAAAGTACTGAAAGCCAGAAAAGTATAGAAGAACATTTGCCCGAAACTGAAGAAAATGGAGGTACCGCATCAGAGCAGGTAAATTTTGAAGCGAATATTGTTAGTGATGTATGAAAAAAACTTACGATATTTAATTGGAGTCTTGTGTCTAAGGACATGATTTCAAGGAGATTTGAAATGTATATACTGTATCGTTCGGCTAATTAATCTACCCCGCAAATAAGACAAAGCCTATTTTTAGCAATAAAAAAGAGGACTTTTCCATATAGTCCTCCAGTAAGACTAAATCATGTTTGAGAAGACTCATGCGAAAAATAAGCCGACCTCAGAAAAAATAAAATCAGCTGGGAAATACGGCATGTATGGGAAGAAAATTTGGGTAACCTTCTCTTCTTGTGGATAATGAGAAGTACTTGCTAACCACTAATTAATCACTTTTATTCTGTCAGCCATCCAGTTCCATGGAATACCAAATCAATAAGGACGGGAGCATTGAAATTTGATAGTTTTAGAATACACTAAGAGTCTCAGCAAATTGGAATATACTTTTGTTCGCCTATATTTGGATGGAACATACCGTAGTGTGCTCTATCTGTTACCCATTTGTAATTTATATATCATACTTTTGATTATTTGTGTGATTGTGTTCACTTTTATGCACTTATTTGTATATAAAACATTTTTGACTTCTCTCCTTTTCCTGGCATATGTTGTCACCACTCACCAGATTTAAACATTATGGTTATACTCTATTTTCTGTTATAAATGGCCAGGTATATCAGTCTTGACTACCCAGGCTTACCCTAATGTCTGGTTGAAGCATGCTGCATGTATGAACATTGAAAAACCTGGCGTTTCATATATTTTCTCCTTTACATCTACATTATTTCTTTGTCTCTCTGCATACAATCAAATATTTTATAATCCTTTCAATATTAAGACAATTGTTTGTGTATTTGTTCAAATTCAAGATGAAATCGTATTTTATGTATGTATGTATACATGTGTGTTGGAAATTTTATTTCCTTTGTTGGCCAAGTATGTATGATATTCCTAAATATAATGCCATTAGAATGCTACAAGGTTTGTGGAGTCCAGAGCATAACAAGGATTGTCCAGGTACCTTAGCTAGTTTTTTGACCGGTCAATAGACTGAACGATTAATGCAGGAAAGCTATATAAACCATTAACTGGTTATAAATTAAAAAATATTTGTTGAATGTGAATCAATGGATTTAGGGCAGTAGTGTGCAACCAAATTCGCCTACAATGAAAAAAAGGTGTGCGGCCCACGATGGAGCACTAATTTTTGATAATGTCCGGCCCATAAATTTTCAATTTAGATCTGGTTCGTGCCATTAATTTCAAACCCTTAGCGTTTTAAGCCTATACCACAACAGCTAGCTTGTGCGAAGCCAACCATTTCTAACTACTAGAAAGCCTTTGTTAATCAGAGGTACGGCCTGTGGTTTCACCCAGTTATTTGTATCGGACTCTCCTTCTAGAGTGTAAAAGCATCCCTTTCAAATTAAAAAATGATTCTATTTCAAGATAACCTGCAAAAGCTTACATTCGAATGCACTCAATTTGCAATTAGAACTCATCTTTGATATTCAGCTATTTTATTCTACTTTCTTCACTGTAATTACATCTTTCCAATCAATCAAATAATTTCAGTTTATTGCTTTGGTGTACAGTACGGCTATTTTCTGATACATCGAATATATATAACATGAAAAAAGAGCTTATTTGGTGTCATTTTCTCTAGTTATCAGGCTGGGAAAAGGTTATTATTAAGAATACAAAAATTATACAAAGTAAGAAACTAGAAAAAAAAATCAAGCTATCCTCCCAACTGTAGTGGGGATGACTAGAAGAGAAAATATTAGGCATCCATCCAATTCTGAACAAATGTTTAAAAGTTTGTGCCCAGCCGTTATGCTTGTGTATTAATCTCAGTACTTTTAAATTCCATTGTGCATTTATGCTGCTAATGTGAAATTCCATCTGTTATTTAAAAGGTGGGCAAATTTGATCTACTATGCCAGCATGACTACGACCATTGTAGAAAAAATAGTTATTATGTGGAGCATCTCGTTGTGACGCAGCTTTTATAATTTCTTGGCCCAATACCCCACCAGTTATCGCACAAATTGGATTCAGTTCAGAAATACAAAATTGAGGAAATTCTTCGGGAATGTAAGTTTCTGAAACATTTGAATCCTTGAGAACCTCGTTTCTCAGTTCTAAAAGTAAATTTTGATCTTCTTTGCCGAATGTTGGACTTCGACCCGTCTTTTCCTTGAATTTGTCAATTACTTTAATGATAAAAAAGATATATGATGATTGTCGCATAATTCTCCTTGATCTTGTTGACCAATCCTCAGTTAAAGATTCTTCAAGACTACAAAATTCATCTGTAACCCTTACAAGAATCTTTTCTTCTTCTTTTTTGCCCTTTTCATCTAGTTTGCTCTTTTTTGCTTCTGGTTCTCCATCAAGATCATACTTTTTCTCTTTTTTCACTTCTTCACGCACAAAATCATGCATCCCCAAATCAGCAAAGCAATATCCATAAAATCCGAAAACATCACCACAAAAGAATTTGATTCCAGATGATCTGCATATTAAATTAATTCTTATCCTTTCTTCGAATGGTACCTCCGTTAAACAAACTATATCAAACTCCCGAAAAAAATCATCCGGTTTCTCCGAAATTGGCATCTTATCGCATGATACGATTACATTTGGATTGAGCGGCTGTGTTCGGGCCATTGATGCTTCTGCTCTATTTTTTCCCATGTCTAAATGAGTTACAAGAAGCTGAGAACCCATATCAGACTCTGAAACTACTTTGTCATCAAGCATTGTCAAAGCCTTTACACCTGCAAGTACAACATTTTTGACCACCTCAGAAGCAAGTCCACCGATTCCAACAACAAGAACTTTGGCTTGACGAAGGCGTTTTTGTGCATCAAGTCCCCACAATCGAATTTGGCGATCATATTGTGCAAACTCCTCGGCAGTAATATCAGCTTCTTTTTCCATCATTACAATGTTAAATATTTGATAGAATTAAGATTTTAAAAGATTACTACCTAAATAAAAAACATTTGCACTAAAATATCATGTTTCAACAAATGAAGTCGAAGAAAAAATTGACATGAGCATGAATAATATTGTGTTCGAACTAGGTGAGACAAGAAAAATGACAAAAATAAAGTTGTTTCAAAAAAGTTTCCCTGCCTGATCGAGGCTACATTTTGATAAAATAACTCAAAATGAATTGTTTTCAAAGCTGTGCTTAGTGGAGTTGTACTGACAAGAATTACTGACTTGATTCAATCCATTTCAACAATTAAAACATGACAAATTTATAAAACAGGATGGCTTCAAAATTGAAAATTTCGAAACACATTCATCTATAAACGCAAGCCACGATGGATAGATAGCCACAATTATTTAACCTATTACAATAAAAATATTAGAAACATATCTCTATTTGTAAATCATCTTAATTCTGTAATTATGGACCTATATTTATTAGCAGTTTGGATATGAAAAATATTACTTGATTGAATGAAATAGTTTAATTTCATATGGACTTCTTGTCTAGAGCTTTATTCATAGTGAAATCAAATTAGTTTCATCAAGATAGAAATATCATTTCAAATTAAAGACAAAGCATTGCAGTAGGCTATTTCCTGTGAAATATTTCAGTTTTAAACTTCTTAAACAACTAAATATTAAAACTAGTAAGAACATAGCAGTTCATGCTTCATAACACTAGTCAATTTTGAGGTGGGTATGACATGTTTCTCAGATCTGCAGATGTCAGTTTCCAAGCGCTTTCCATTAAATCACACTTCAATCAACATTTGGACGATCAGGAGGTGGTCCACAAGGTTGGAACATTCTTTCTAACACATTGAATCGAACTCGAGCTCTTGTTTCGTTTTCCGCAATAGCAATGTGACTTAGAAGATCCGGGTGACCGATGTAAGAAGCAAGACTATCACGATGTTGATTTGTCAACCATTCCCATTTTGTAGTGTCAGAGTGTCCAGTACCGACATATTTCGACTGCAAATGCTCCATTTGAGAAAATATATTATATCGATCCCCCATTTTGACTGTTATTTTGTCGCTGTACACCCACGAAAAGTACCTATTCTCACTATAGATCACCACTAAATGCCAAAACTGCAAAAGAAACCCAAAGTACGGTGATGCTTCCTGAACCCGATCACAAGGTGGAGCAGATGTGCCAGTCAATATTTTGTTTAGTCATACTACGTCATTTATCTACATTATTGTACATAATTTGAGACACGTCTGCAAAGAAGAACTTGTTGTTTGCTGGTTTTTAAAGTTTTCATTGATATTTTGTCAGTTTGTCGTGAGTATTAGGTCTAGTTTTAGAATAAGGGATATTCAAAGATGGCTTCTAATGATATTGGAGACTGGTATCGTGGAATACCGAGGATAACTCGTTATTGGTAAGTTTCGTAAATTTTTTTACCAGCTGCTGGCGCGGCGGTGTGGCTCAACGGGCTAAGCGTTAGGAATACGCTCGCCACCGCACCTCTAATTACTCTGCGTGGGCTCGCAGGTTCGAATCCCATGCAGGGATAGTTATGTGCGAGAGGATTGCTGGACTCCTCGCCATCGTTGGGTGGTTCACGTAACCGCTGGTCGGTTACGGCTTCCTCCACTACCATGTCCATGCTTCCGAAAACAAACAATACAGTGAAACTAATCCCATACCCGACTTGGAATGGTAACCGGACGAGAGGCCGTGGTTCGCCATATGGATAAGCCGTCTTATCGGCTTTCCTCTCCCCCGGGATAAATATGTAAATCTTATCCTATCCTGAACTGACTGAAGTTGCACTCCAATCAGACAATACAGCAATAGGTAGGCTAAACAGGTACAGTTTACAGTCTGGGTCTAACAGTCGGGTATTC